CTGTTTGCCTGCGTATCACCAGCGGAGTCTGCAGAACAGCAAATATTGCAGAACAGCAAATATTGCTGGCTGATCCTTCTTCTGTAAGCTTCATCCCAGAGGGTCACCTACCTGTATGAGGTGTCATTTGGCCCCTACTGGGAGGTGTCTACCACTTAGGCTAAACAGGGTTCAGGAACCCACTTGAGGATGCAGTCTGTCCTTTCTCAGAGTTCAAACACCGTGCTTAGAGAACCATTATTCTCTTCAGAGCTGTCAGACAGGGATGTTTAAGTCTGCAGACGTTTCTGCTGCCTTTTGTTCAGCTTTGCTCTGTCCCCCGAGAGTTGGGCTCTCGAGAAGCAGCAGGCCTTGCAGAGTTGCAGTGGGCTCCACCACGTTTGGGCTTCCTGGCAGCTTTGTTTACCTACTCAAGTCTCAGCAATGGCGGACACCCCTCCCACTGCCAGGCTGCTGCCTTGCAGGTTGATCTCAGACTGCTGCACTAGAAGTCAGCAAGGCTCTGTGGGCATGGGACCCACTGAGCTAGGCATGGGATATAATCTCCTAGTGTGCCGTTTGCTTATACTGCTGGAAAAGTGCAGTATTTGGGCAGGAGTGTCGCGATTTTCCAGGTACAGTCTGTCATGGCTTCCCTTAGCTAGGAAATGGAAATCTCCCACCCCTTGCACTTCCTGGGTTAGGCGATGCCCCACCCTGCTTTGACTTGCCCTCCATGAGCTGCACCTACTGTCCAACCAGTCCCAATTAGATGAACCAGGTACCTCAGTTGGAAATGCAGAAATCACTGTCTTCTGCGTCGATCACGCTGGGAGCTGTAGATTGTAGCTGTTCCTAATCAGCCATCTTAGAACGGAAGAGACTGGGTAATTTTTAAAGAAAAGAGATTTAATTGACTCACAGTTCTGCAGTCTGTAGAGAAACCATAACACAGGCATCCGCCTCTGGGTAGGCCTCAGACAGCTTACAATCATGGCATAAATTGTAGGTGAGGAGCAGGCATCTCACATGTTTGGAGCAGGATCAAAAGAGTGAGAGGTGCCACACACCTTTAAACAACCAGATCTCACAAGAATTCACTCATTATCATGAGGACAGCACCAAAGGATGGGGCTAAACCATTCATGAGGAATTCACCCCCATGATCCATTCACTTCCCACCAGGCCCCACCGCCAACATTGGGTATTATATTTCAACATGAGATTTGGGTGGGGACAAGTATCCAGACTATGTTACCTGACTATTCTCAAAGTGATGGACATATTCATCCTTACATGTCCTCTTGTAGACCTACATGAACATTTCTTTGGGCCCATTTTCAGGAATAGAATTGCTGAGTCGTAGGAAACATATATGTATATTTTTTTGATTAAGTAGTTTCAGATTGCCCTTCTGAATGACCCCACCTGTCTGTAACCCCCTGGTTATAGTGGATGAGGATTCCTATATGCCTTCAACCCTACCAACACTTGGCATTTTCTTGCTTTCTAGTTTTTGCAAATCTTGTAGTCTTAAAGCAATATCTTATTTTAATTTAACTTTATTTTATTCCCAATGTTTTGAGCTTCTTTTCATGGTTGTATGCTTCTGGGATTGTCTCTTACGCAACTTGCCTGTTCTTATGCTTCATATATTTTTCTTTTGGGGCCTCTTTTTCTTATTGAGTTACAAAAGTCCCTTGTATATTCTAGATAATAATTCCTTGTTAGTTTTAGGAGTTGCACCTATTTTCTCCCATTCTGTTATTAATTTTTAAAAAGTCTTTCCCTGTTCATAGATCCAAGGTACTCTGCATTTTCCAATAACTTTATAGTTTTATGTAAAAGTTACATATAGATGCATCTAGAATCTAGTTTTGTATATGGTGTTAGGTAGGGATATGGCTTTATCTTACTGCGTGTGCTAATACTGTTTCCCCAACACATCTAGTAAATACTCTTTTGTCTGTCAATTTGTAGTGCCATGTTTATGCTCTGTTAGACTCCCATTTTTCACATCAGTCTGATTTTGAGCTCTGGTCCTTTTCCATTGGTTTATTTTTCTGTTTTTGCAATAGTACTAGAGGTTTTTGTTGTTGTTGTTGGTGGTGGTGGTGGTTTTTTTTCCCCACAGCTTGGAGTATGTTTTAATACCTAGTAGAGCAAATCTTACCCTCTTTACTTTGTTTTAAGTTTGATTTAGCAATTTGTGGGGTTTTGTTCTTCTATGTAAATTTAGAATAAGTTTATTAGAAAATCCACTTTGAAATATGATTGAAATTGTATTGAATTTATAGATTAATTTGAGGGATAATTGCCATTTTTATTATATTAAGTTGTCCTATCCAAGAGCATAGACATTATTTCTTTAGATTGTATTCTATATCCTTCATTAGACTTTTAAAGTTTACTCTGTAAAGGTCTTGTATATGCTTGGTTAATTAAGCTAATTTCTAGATTCTGTATAATTTTTGTTGCCATCATGAATGGTATTTTTATGTTTTCTAAGTGGTCATTGCTGGTGTAGGAAAATGTTATTGACTTTTGTAGGTTGATATTATATTTGGTATCCTTGTTGAACTCTTTTATATTAGCTCTGAGAGTTTGGTTGATTCTTTTCTTTCATTTTTTTTTTTTTTCTGGTTGAATGATTACCTTCTCTGTAAGTGGTGCCAAATATAGAACTTCCCTTCTGATCCTTGCATTTCTTAATTCCACGCCCCCTTTCCTCATAGTATTTAGCCACGATATTTAAAACAGTAGCAGTGATAGAGTCAAGTTTGTTGTGTTCATGATTTTAAATTAATGCAGTTAGTTTCTTCATTATTCATAACATTCTTTGTAGGTGTTTTGTATATAATTTTTACCAAGTTAAGGATGTTTACTTTTATTCCTTGTTCACTAAGGATTATCATTATAAATAGAATTAAGCTATATTAAATGCTGCTTTTTCTGTATCAATTGAGATAAAGCATATAATTTTTCTGTTTAGTCTTGCTGATATATTACATTGACATTTTCTGATGTTGAACTCCCCATGCTTTCTTGTGATAAACTGCACTTGATCAAAATGTATTTTAAAAAATATACTGTTGGATTCATTAAAATTATTTAGCATTTTTTGTGTCTATATTTCATAAATGAAATAGCCCTAAACTTTCTTACTTTATAATTGTCTTTATTTGATTTTAGAATCAAGATTAAATTGCCCTCATAAAATGGACTGAGTAACTTTATTTTTTTTCCAGTGACCAGAGTCAATTGGATAAGGTAGTAATTAATTATATTTTGGAAGTTCGGTAGAATAAACCTATAACGTCATCTGGACCTGAGGGTTTTGTTAGGGAAAATCTTTGACTACCATTGCCATTTTATTTTTTTCTTGATATTTAAAAATATTTCTTGTAAGTTTTCCAATTTATTAGCATATTGTTTTTCATAATACTCATAGTTTTAACTTTTTATGTTTTCCCTTTTTCATTCTGTATTTTATTTGCATCTTTTCTCTTTTTTAGCAACGATCTATCCTATTAACCTTTTGACATGATTAAATTCTGGTTTGTTAATCTTTTCTGTTCAGGCTGTGTGTGTGTATCTGTGGAGGAGGATTCTCTGGTTTTAAATTTCTGTCCTTTACCATCTTATTTCTCTGTAATTTTGCTATTTCCATTACATTGACTGTTTAACTAGTATGTCGTTAACCTTTCTCATTTCATGATAAACTTACTGCTGTACATTTACTACTTAGTTCTTGTTTAACTTCGTCCTACAAATTTTTATTTGTGTTTTTATTATCATTCACTTTTAAATCTTTTTTAGTTTCCTTTCTTTTTTCTTTTTAACTCAAGGTTAATTTAATAATAAGCTATTGTGTTTTCAAACATTTGTTAAATTTTGGCTATTATTTTGTTGTTAATTTCCAGTGCTATTGCATTGTGGTTGGAGAGCCTAAACTGTATGATATTCAACGTTTGGAATTTATTGATGTTTCATTTACAGCTGTAATCATGGTCTCTTTTTGGAATTTTTTTGTTGTTGTTGTCTTGAATGTTCGATTTGTTGGATATAGAGTCCTACTCTGTATATAATAGCTTGAGTTTTTTAGTTGTAATGTGTAAGTGTTCTGTATCTTCATTTGATTTTTTTTTTTTTTTTGGTCTGCTTGACCTATCAGTTCCTAAGAAGAGTATTAAAGTATCCATATGCACTTGTTCCTTTTCTCTTTGCAGTTCTGCTAGTTGCTTGATATACTTTGAGACTGTATTATACAATATGTTTATATTTATGATGGCTATATCTTCTTGTCCTATTGATTTTTGTCATGTAAATTCTATTTAGTCAGATATTGAGACTGCTACCTCAGCTTTATTTTAGTTTATATTTGCCTGGCATATCTTATTATTTTCAGTTTGTCTGTGACTCTAAAGTATATCTCTTCTAGTATGAATATTGTTGAATCTTTTGTTTTAGTCTGTGTCTTTCTTTTAATTGGTAAGTTTAATTCATGTACATTTATTGCAATTACTTTTATATTGGGATTTAATTCTGGCATTTCTTTTTATGTGTTTTATTTATGGTACTCCTTTTTTTTGGTTTTGTTTTGTTTTTCTCCTTTTCTGTTTTATTCTATTCTTGCCCTGTAATGTAAGATCTATCTTCATGTTATTTACCCTTACTGATTTTTTTACACATACAATAGCTGTACCTTCTTCCAACAAGATAAGTACCTCAGCAAGCTCTCAGGTTCTATATAGTTTCCAGTTATACATACCTCATCTTGTAAACTTTGTCTAGAATTTTTATCTTTTCTAGAATACAGGTTTTCCTCTCACTTTCATAGTTTTTCCAGTGCTGATTTCAGAAAAGGTAATACGGATCATACTAGTTTGCCACCTTGGTAGGAACTGGAAAAACTCAAGTTTTGTAGCAAATTAACAGCATTTATCTTGCTTTGAATGGCCCCACTTCAATCACAGGTGGTGAGTTGGTAACTTAATCAGTATTTTTTACTCCAATAACAGGTAGAAAATGTGAAATTGGTGGATCGTTATGTGAGTAAGAAACCAGCTAATGGGATTCTTTATCTTACTGCAACCCACCTGATCTATGTGGAGGCTTCTGGTGCAGCCCGGAAAGAAACATGGGTATGTTCATGAGAAGAATTATCAAAGGGTCTTAAAGAGTTGTGCATACATGCTGTCTATATGGTAGTTTCTTGAAATTTCAAATATAATTTTTAAATTGCTGTAAAACCTTTTCTTCAAAGGACCTATTGTAATAATCTTTTTGTGGTCTGAATTGTATTACTCCTCTTTTTTCAAGTTATTGACTCTGGTCATCGTAGTCATTTTATTCTACATTGTAATATTCCTGGGGATTAGCTAAATTATTTTTAGGTAGAATAGTTTCTGCTAACTTCCTGAACTATGTTTGTAAGCATCTTGAAGTAATTTAAAGCCTGCTATCCATAAAATGTAGTTCAAGAACCAGCAGTATCTGTAGCATATGGGAACTTGATAAAAATGCAGAATCTTAAGCATAAGATTTTGAATTTATGAAAAGGGCTCAGGTTATGCTGATGCTAAGGCCTTATTGACTTTACCTTGGGCAGCACTAATTTAGATCATCTCTCTGTCCTAAGACAGGATTTTACCTAGGTATATATATATATGTGTGTGTGTGTGTGTGTTTGTGTGTGTGTGTGTGTGCGCATGCACAGGCATGTGTGTGTGTTTATTTTTACACCTGTAAGTAATGTTTTCTAATTACTTCAGCACCCCAACATTACTTTATGCCTTACCCATCCTAAAGATCATAATTTAATCTTAATCATTAGATTTATGCTTAGACCTCTTCATTTATAAGAAGTACAACATGCTTCTTTTATACAGCATAGCTTAGTGATTAAAGCTTTAGAGCCAGTCTGCTCAGGTTAAAATCCCGGCTTCTACATTTACTACTTTTGTAACCTTGGGCGAGTTGTTTAACTTTTCTGTGTCTCGCTTCCTTCATCTGTAAAATAGAGATAAAATAATACCTTGAATATTTTTAAAGAGTTTTAAAAAGTCAAGATACAAGAATTATAAAGTGAATGTTTATAAGTGCTTATAACAATGCCTGAAACATGGTAAATACTATCATAAAAGTATAAAATAAATTGAATTGAGTATGTATATGAAAAAAGTATCTTAATACCTCCTTTTAAAACTGAACTTTCCCCGTATGTATCTTGCTTTTTGTGCTGTGATGATAAGAATGTCAAAAGAGGAGTGAGAGCTGGGCTAGACTAAGCTCTGATGCTAACTGGCTGCGTAACCTTAGGCAAGTGATTCTTACTCTCCGGGCTTGTTTCTTCATCTGTAAAATGAGGTGGTTAGATTATATAATTAGTAAGGATTCTTGCAGTTCTAACAGTTTAGGAACCAGTTCTTTAGTACTGTGCCATGAGCCTATCTCCTATCTACCTGCATTTATAGACAGTACAGATGTCTCCAGATTTGTTCCTTTTGGGTATGATTTCAAATCCAGGGGACTGTATCTGGAATGGAGGACTTATACTATTTCTGATGTCAAAGGAGGCTTATTTACCCAATTAGGGAAGTTCTTCCCAGACTTAGTCTGCCTACCTTCCCCCGACCCTTCCCAGTTTCACCACAATTGTTTGCCTGGGCCCTGATCTCGATTATCAGTATTGTACTACCAAAACACACATCTCTCATGTTGACTGGAAGATCTTTGATTTTCTTGAGGTTGAATATATTAATTCATATTACATTTTGTAATACCTCCAGAACTGCCATGGCAGGACTTGAGTGTGACAAAACAGTTAAGATAAAAATTAATCATACCTGTGATCCCAGCAGTTTGGGAGGCTAAGGAAGAAGGATCGCTTGAGGCCAGGAGATTGAGATCAGCTTGGGCAACAAAGCAATACCTAGTCTCTACAAAAGTTAAAAAATTAGCCAGGCATGGTAGCACACAACTGTATTCCTAACTTACTTAGGAGGATGAGGCAAGATGATCTCCTTTGAGCCCAGGAGGTTGAGGTTGCAATGAGTCATGATTAAGCCACTGCACTCTAGCCTAGGCAACAGAGCAAGACCCTGCCTTAAAAAAATAGAAAATTTATCCTAGGAATATCTGAATCATTTCCACACTTGCTCCATTCTTAGATGGTGGATATGATTGAAAGAGTTCATTGAAGAGATGACTTTTCCATATAAATTAGGGACTGGGACATTGAGGTGATGGGAGAGCAGAAAAGGCACTATTGATTGCAAGACCATTCCAGGCACAGGACAAGGAGTCTAGATAATGGAAAGAGCACATCCAGGCTCCATAGTTGCAGAAACATCAGATAGGGATAGGAGGAGAACATCAAAGATCAAAATGCAAAACCATGATTCTATGGCTTTTTGAATCAATTAAGAGAGAATTAATATTATTTGGACACATTTTGTTTCATCAGTTCCCTTTCTGTGCATTTCTTTGCTGGCATCAGCATGAACAGAAGTAATCATCCTACATTCTTTGCTTTACTGTCACTAGAGTTTAAAATGTAGAGGAATAGTTCCTCCCTAACATTTCTAGTTAAATCCTTATTCCAGAACTAGAGTTTTTTGAATTCCCAGAGAAGAATCCTGGCCTTATATGGACTGCTATGGTTCAAATTCTGTTTGTGCCACTTCTTGGCTATATGATATCTGAAGAGGAATTCACTTCTCAGAGCTTTGTTTTTTTTCATTCCTGAAATAGGATGATTACACGTCAAATGGCTCTTCTTAAATAGCTAATGGTCATGGACTACTTTGTTTATAATAAAGCACAATACCAGCTATTAATAACTATCTTAATTAGTAATTTGATATAAGAAAAGAAATTCTTATTTTCCTCTGTAACAATTATTCTGTGATTGTGAACTCTCTCACAGCATGCTAAAAGTCATCTATTCTGAGCTGATCCACCAAAATTGTCCCACAACTTGGTAATCTTGTATCCTTAAGGAGAGAGAAGTTTTCTAACACTGCAGTCTGCTTCTTGTTGCTTTACCACTATTATGCTTTAGTTCTATTTGAGAGAACCCCAGTTGTGTCTTACAAAGAGTGGTTGTAGGCTATAGATGTAGCCTACAGATCTGGTCATGCTGTTACCATTACGGAGAGTCAGGAATATTGATAGTGATAGAGATATTGCACATCTGTATGTATACGCTGCTTCTTTTATGTTTTTCAGATTGCACTCCATCACATTGCCACCGTGGAGAAGTTACCCATCACTAGCCTGGGCTGTCCCCTGACCCTCCGCTGCAAGAATTTCCGGGTGGCCCACTTTGTTTTAGACTCTGACCTTGTGTGCCATGAGGTTTATATTTCACTGCTCAAGCTTTCTCAGCCAGGTGGTTGTGATAGTATTTTTATCTAAAACCATTTTAATGTTTTTCCAAAATGGCATAATGGAAAGATCAGGGCTATGGAGTCAGAGGAGTGTTTGGATCTGGACTCTACCCCTTATTAGCTCCATTATATTTGGACAAATTATATAACCTCTGAACTCATTTTCTTTACCTGTAAAAGTAAAGAGAGTAAAAGCTCTCCAATGGGGGTTGTTTTGAGCCTTGAATACCTTCATGTATTAGTATGTAGTAAATGTTTAGTAGATATTTTCTTCTCTCTCCCTCCCTCCTTTTAAGTATCAACTTGTGAATGTTTCCTCAGTTCAGGAAGGAAGACTGCTGTGAAACAAAATTTGTTTCCTGTTGTCCTGCAGACTTTTTGTTTGGCCCACGATATCCACCCCTACTTTTAATTCCATCTAGAAGACTAAGGCAGTTCATCAAAGTCCTCATTAATGTAGGACTTAATGCTTCCTCCAGCTTCACCCTTTCATTCCCCATCCTCCACCCCTGGCAATTAACTGTCAGCTTCCTCTGATTTTAGTCTTTGATTTTAATCATGCTCTTACATTTTCTCCCCCATTTTTCCCCTATTCCCCCAAAATAATTCCTCAATATTTGCTGATTTTTATGGATAAAGTTACCTGCTGGATGACCCAGCATTTTACAAGTCTCTGATAGGCTCCATTCATCTCTGGAGAAGTTGTTGCCACATAAATTGGTCAAATGAGTTATTTGATTGGATGCTGTATCTTGTGAAGGGAGGAAGCAGGACTGACAGAGAAAAGAGAGGAAGTGGCCATTTATAAGTCAGAAGTTGCTGTTGGCCTGACAAGTAGAATGCAAAAACATTGTTGAAGATGTGTGCAACATGTTACAATAAGCAGTACTGTTAGGACATGGGAGCCCAGTTAAAAACTTTTGGTAAGGACTCTTTTCCTAACATGTGAAACCCTGAAGCCTCAGTTCAGTCAATTATCCAGCATTCTTTTTTTTATAGGAAGCCAGGCAGAAAGATCCCACTTTGTATTGATACCACAAAAAATTAAAACATTTTTTAAAAGAACCCAAACAGTATTCCAGTTTTTATTCCTTACATAAAGGCAAACTTACACGCATCACAGTCTTTTTCTGGGACTGTTTGATAAACATTCCCTTTGGGAAAAGGAAATCTAGCGTTTATTTGCATTGTTTGATGATTTTTAGGTTTCATTCATCATTTTGTTTTCCATGCCTATCTCTCTTCTCCAGCATTACCTGAAGATCTTTATGCTTTTTCTTATAATCCCAAATCCTCAAAAGAGATGAGGGAAAGTGGATGGAAACTGATTGAAGCAATATCAGACTTTGGGCGTATGGGAATACCCAACAGATACTGGACCATAACAGATGCCAACAGAAACTATGAGGTAATTTTGTCCTTGTTGTTTGCCTTTTGGTGCATTCAATTAAAATGGCAGAATATCAGGAAACAAGATTTTGAAAAAAGAGAGAAATGATTCATAATCCTTCTCTCCTTTCCATTCAACATTCAGCCATTCAACAAACATTTATTGAGTACCTACTGTGCAATAGGGACTGAGTAAGAGATCTCATGGCCTAAAGCATAGGGTGCTATGTGAGCATAGGTGCAGGGCATGAAAATCAACCTAGGAAGCCAGAAACAGCCTGATGCTTTGCGGAGTAGCCTTGTGAAGGCTAATTTACTTTTAACATTTTTAATTTTTAATTATTATGGATATATAATAGTTGTACATATTTATAGGGTACATGTGATGTTTTTATATAGGCATACAATATGTAATGATCAGATCAGGGTAACTGGGGTATCCATCACCACAAGCATTTATCATTTATTTGTGTTAGGAACATTCCAATTCCATTTTCAGTTATTTTATTATTGTTATCTGTAGTTTTCCTGTTTTGCTGCTGAATACTAGATCTTATTCCTTCTATCTAACTGTATTTTTGTACCCATTGAGGATCCTCTTTTTATCACCCCACTCCACTACCCTTACCAACCTTTGGTAACCATCATCTATCCATGAGTTCATTTTTATTTTTTTGCTCGTACAATATGTGAGTGAGGTTATGCAATATTTGTCTTTCTATGCTTTGTTAATTTCACTTAATATAATGTCCCCCAGTTCCATCCATGTTGTTGCAAATGACAGGATTACATTTTTTTGTGGCTGAGTAATATTCCATTGTGCATATATACCACAGTTTTCTTTTCTTTCTTTTTGAGACAAGGCCTCACTCTGTTGCCCAGGGTAGAGTGTAGTGGCATGATCATAGCTCACTGTAGCCTCAATCTCTGGGCTCAAGTGGTCCTCGCATCTCACCCTCCCATGTAGCCAGGGCCACAAGCATCCACCTCCATGCCTGGCGAATTTGTTTCATTTTTTGTAGAGATGGGGGTTTTGAACTTTTGGGCTCAAACGATCCTCCCTCCTTGGCCTCTCAAAGTGCTGAGATTATAGGTGTGAACCACCACGCCTGGCCAGTAGTGGCTATATGATTTACCTTCCTACCAATTGTGTATGAAGATTTCATTTTCTCCATATCCTCACCAGTATCCATTATTGCCTTTTTGATAAAAGCCATTTTAACAGGTGAAATGATAACTTATTGTAGTTTTGGTTTTCATCTTTATGATTATTATTGATGTTGAATGTTTTTTCATATACTTGTTGGTCATTTGTATGTCCTCTTTTGAGAAATGTCTATTCAGATACTTTCTCCATATTTAATTGGATTATTTGTTTTCATTCTTTTGAGTTGCTTGGGCTCCTTATATTTTCTGGTTATTAATCCCTTGTCAGATGGGTAATCTGCAAATATTTTCTCCTATTCTGTGGGTTATCTTTTCACTTTGTTGGTTGTTTCCTTTGCCATGGAGATTTCTAGCTCAGTGTTATCCCACTTGTCCATTTTTGCTTTGGTTGGTTGCATATGCTTTCGAGGTCTTACTTGAGAAGTCTTTGCCCAGACCAATATCCTGAAGTGTTTCTCTGCGTATGGATGTCCAGTTTTCCCAGAACCATTTATTGAAGAGACTTCTTTCCCCCAAATATGTGTTCTTGGTGCCTTTGTTGAAAATGAGTGAACTGTAAATGTGTGGATTATTTCTGAGTTTCTCTCCTAATGTATACAGGGGGAGAAGGAAGGAGGTCAGGAAGTGAAACCATATCATAAAGGGCTTCATGGCCAAATTAAGGAATTGGAACTTTATCATGAAGACAGTTGTGAGTCACAAGAGTATTTACACTTAAAAGGAACATATGTATATTTGTGTTTTAGAAAGATAACTGTTATTAGTGTGGAGAATTTGTTTGCTGGAGCTAAGAATGCAGGAGAATGATATGTGAAGTTATGAGAACCTGAACTAAGGCAATGGCTGCAGATGGAGAGAAGGAGATGGTTTTGAAAGATATTTAGGTGGTAGAATTGAAAGCAACTGGTGACAGATCAAATGTGAGTAGAAAAGTGGAGGAATTTAATATGCATCCCAGCTTTCCTGGTTTCTGGCTTTGATGACCAATGAGTAGTGGTGATGTTAACAAAGATAAGGACCACAAGAAGAGGGGCAGATGGTATCTTCAATTTTACACTTGATTTCAAGGTGATTAAACAGATATCAAGTATTTGATTTCAAACATTTGGGTCTGGATCTCAAGAAAGAGCTCTGGGCCAAATATGGACATCTGGGAATGTGTTGGAGGTCCCAAAGGCCGTTCCTCAGGTTTTGTGATTTACTAGGAAAATTCACAGGACTCGGCGTATAGTCATACTTATGACTGTGATTTATTACAGTGAAAGGATACAAAGCAAAAATCGGCAAAGGGAAAAGGTTCAGGGGAGAAAGTCAACAAAACTGGAACAAGCTTCCAGAGTCCTCTCTCAGCAGGGTGACATAGGACACACTGAATTCCTCCAGCAGAAATTGTGACAACACTTATGAAATGTTATCTACCAGGATGCTCATTAGAGGCAAAGTGCTCAGGGCTTCTATTGGGACCTGCCCACGTAGGCAAGTTCTGCCTAGTGTATGCCAGAAGTCCAGATGTCCAGAAGGAAAGCAGGTATTCAGAATAAGCCACATTGTACAAACGGTTTTAAACACAATGCAAGTAGGCCTTTCTAAGGGTAGTCTGATGGTTAATATTGTCAATTTGATTGGATTGAAGTATGCAAAGTATTGTTTCTGGGTGTGTCTATGAGGGTGTTACTAGAGGGGAGATTAACCTTTGAGTCAGTGGACTGGGCGAGGCAGACCCACCCTTAATCTGGGTGGGCACCATTCCCTCAGCTGCCAGTGCAGCTAGAAAAAGCAGGCAGAAGAAGGTGGAATGAGCAGACTTCCTGAATCTTCCGGTCTTCATCTTTCTCCCATGCTAAATTCCTCCTGCCCGTGAATATCAGACTTCAAGTACTTCGGCTTTTGGATTCTTGGACTTACACTAGTGGTTTGCCAGGGGCTCTCAGGCCTTCTGCCACAGACTGAAGGCTGCTCTGTCGGCTTCCCTACTTTAGAGGTTTTGGGTCTCGGACTGATCCACTACTGGTTTTCTTGCTCCTCAACTTTCTGACGGCCTACCGTGGGACTTTACCTTTTGATCGTGTGAGTCAATTCTCCTTAATAAACTCCATTTCATATATACATATATCCTATTAATTCTCTCCCTCTAGAGAACCCTGACTAATACAGGTAGCAATCAGGCCTGCTAGGATAATTTTTCTGCAGAGAGAGTCGTTGGTGTTTAAGTGATATCCCTGAATTGTTCATCTTTAACAGTGTTTTTACTATCATAGTAAGACTGTAATTGCAATGACTTTCTGGTAACATAGCTTTGAATGTCTACTAGGTATGGAGATTGATGAGCTGTGACTTCGCAGGGTCATCTGTGTGGTGACTTGTTAGGGTCATGCTTGAGAGGAATGAGTAGAGATTGGAAGTAAAATCTGTCCACCTCAAATGTGTGTCTGAGTCTTCCAAAGAAGGTCTGAAATATTCTTGTTGGTCTTTTTGATGTGTATAACCTTCTAAGCTGAACGGGGAGCTCCATTTATTTTTCTTTGTATGACCGTCTTCTCCAAAGTTTAAGTCCGGGTAAGGAGGTGGGTAGAAAACATTTTTAAATGGTCTACATTCTGGGGACATTGACTTTAATGAGTTTCATAGAGTATTCTTGATCTTATCTACCTTTAACTTTTTTTAATTTTTGCCAGTTCAGTTTATATTTGTTTCATGTGTTGTTAAATGTTTAGGGGTGTTCTTTACTTAGGGGAGTGATTAGAATTAATTTTGCAATGTCAGGTCTGTGGTGTTATAATATTTTGTCACTGTCTCTTTGGAAATATGTATTTTGGTAACCACTAAAAGCTGATAAACTTGAGAAAATATATCAGTCTTTTCATAGAGTAAGTCACACCTAAAACGTCAACACCTCCAACCCCTAGACTAGTGGTTTAAAGGCCATTCAGATATGAATACTAGGAACCTAGTATGCAGTTTACATATGTAACTTTTTCCCTTGCTAGCAACAGGCTGGAATTTGCAATCACTCAAGCATTAGCTAGCTGGTATTTAATCATCTATTCCTCAGAAATAGAAATGAAAATATCCTTGGTATAAAAGCTTTTCCAAGTATGCTGTTATTTTCTAGAAAGGAAGGGATTGAGACATATAAAAACAAAATGTACTTTTAGAATTAGAATAACAAAAATCATAGAAACACATATAAAACCCCATCTTGAAATTCCTGCGTGTGCGTATCAGAGCAAAAACAATAACTGTAAACAAGTAAATTAATATGAACAGATGCAAATATGAAGCAGACAGGTGAAGGAGGAGAAAATATGATGTACTCTTTCATAAACTGCATACTAGATTCCTAGTATTCATATCTGGATGGCCTTTAAAATACTAGTCTGGGGGTAGAGCTGTTGCATTTTAGGTATGACTTACTCTATGAAAAGACTGACATATTTTCTCAAGTTTATCAGCTTTTAGTGGTTACCAAAATACGTATTTCCAAAGAGAGAGTTATATATAAATATATATTTATATATATTGTGTTTATTTTCTTTTAGATATGCAGCACCTACCCTCCTGAAATAGTGGTTCCTAAATCTGTTACCTTGGGAACGGTGGTTGGAAGTTCAAAGTTCAGAAGTAAAGAACGTGTCCCTGTGCTCTCCTACCTCTACAAAGAGAACAATGTGAGTTAAGCAAATTTCTCTAATGAGAATTATACTTGGCTCTGGAAGACCTGTTTTAAGTTTCATGCTGCCACTTAGTAGCTGTGTGACCTCAAGCAAGTTCCTTAACTTCTCTGGACTTTCATACTTCTGAAGTTTTTTGAGAGGATCTCAGGAGGGAATAATATATGTGTACCTTGTAAATTGTAAATTGTAAAATGTTATGCAGATATTAAGTGGCATTTTAGTGTGTTTATTTGTTTTTCTTTTTTTCCTTTTCTATGGGATCCAGCTTGGTGCAAAGTTGTGAAATGACAGGAAATTAGTTGTATACAGGATTTTTTGGGACTGTGGCCTCCCGGTAGAATACAGATATCCTTGATACTTTCTTACTGCTTTTCATGTAATTTCAGGTAGTAGTAAGAAAGCACTTGACTTCTCTGTGTTTCAGTCCCCTTACTTATGTAGGAAGTGATAATATTTATCACCTCTTGTAATCACTCTGAGATCTGGGGTTAGACAAATAGGCAAATTGTCAAGTGGGCAGCCATTCAAGTGCTAAAGAGTATAGTAATGCAATTGGGTGTCATACTATTGAAGTGAGTCGACCCCTTAAAAACCACATCAAAGTGTAATCAATTTCATTAACTAATCATTACCAGACATTCATGTTAAATAGTTACGTTGGTTTTGTGTTAAAGTGGCTTGAAATAAACCACCCTTCTGATTTGGCATTAACTTCTGAAACTAGTGAACCCTGTTCTCTTAAGACGCTGTAGATCTTTGCTCTATCTTGAATTCTGCTGCCTCTGCAAGCTTATGGTTTATGTGGGCAATATCACTGGGACTGTAAAAAGTGAGGCAGTTTCAGAAAAATAGCCCATTATGTATCGAGAATAGAATTTCACTAAGGAAATACTCAACGATGTGATTTTCTTTCTTTCTTTCTTTCTTTCTTTTTTTTTTTCTGTAGTCTGATTTGCCAAGACTGGGTTGGTAATTAGAGCCACATGCCCAGGGTAGGCAGGAGGTTAAGCGCAATGTCAGTGGAGAATGACTTTAGAGTCACATTTCTCTTTGCTTTGGACACTATCTTAAGTTGGCTTAGCCTCTCCCTCTACTCATGGAACCTGGCCAGGGTCAAGGAAGATTTTTGACCATTTGTGTATATAATCACTCAACTGACACACTTTTTCCTTACAGGCTGCCATTTGCCGCTGTAGCCAGCCTCTCTCTGGATTTTACACTCGCTGTGTAGATGATGAGCTCTTGTTGGAGGCCATTAGCCAAACAAACCCAGGGAGCCAGTTTATGTATGTTGTAGACACAAGACCAAAGGTATCTATTTGTCACTGATGTCTTTGATATTTCTGCCTCTTGCAGTCTTCCTCCTCATATATTGAGACATGCAGTGTTATTGGGGAAGTTAGGTTTGTGTATGTGTGTTTATTACTTTGGACATTGTGTAAAATCATTTCAGGAAGTCATTTGGGGCTCCTTTTATAAGGTGGTCACTGACAAGTGAAGTTATGAGAGGGTAATTCGAACAACCCGGCTTTGCCACCTCAGTGTGACGTCCTGCATAGAAGGCTTATTAGCATCCCTCATCTTTTTTACCAAGTCTATTCCTTAACCAGAATTTTCAGTATTCCCATTCTGGGGTCCAAATTTACTGTCCGAGAAAGAGCTTCAACTTAGACATTGGAAACTTACTACAACCAACGTATTTTTTTTCTGTAAATGTGTTAGGTCACAGTAGTTTAATAATACTTTGGTTCTCCCAAAGCACCAGGGTTCACAAATTTTACTGCTATACGATTAACAAAAAATCTTTAGCTCATGTGGCAGTAATTCTTTTTTAGCATCTAGCACTGTTAGCTGGTTAAATTTTTTCCAGTTTACTACAGTGCAGTTTAAATCTTGGTCCCAGAGAATAAAAAAGACCAAGTTCATAAATTTGCCATGGATTTTGGCAGTGGACATGGATAGACCTAGTCAAATCCTTTGATCTTTCCAATAATTTAATACTGCATGATTTGTTGCAATGTGTTTTCTCAGGCTTTGTCTCTTTCAAATGTGAACATTGCTGAATAGAGTGTCCTCATATTAACCTAAGTGTCAGCTTACACTCCTCTCTGCATTAATTCCTTAACCTTCAACGTTTTGTCTAGCTCTATATGGGCTGTAGAAGAACTCATTGTGTCCCACAAAGAATAGATTCCCTATTCTTAAATGTTGTCCTTTTTACAAACAGCCCCAGAAAGAAATGATTTTGCTTATAATTTGGTATGTAAAGTGTGGCTGACTAAAAGGTTTCATTGCTGATTCTAGTGATTACTAAATTGGTGATTTTCATCTAAGCCTATGCCAGATGGTGGTGACTTCACAGTTGAGCAGTTGGATGTACATGAAACCAGATAGTTGCCTTAGACAGCTTTCTGCCCCATCTTTGTGATCCCTCAGTGGCTATTCTCCAGAGCTACCTAGGACTGACTGAGCTCAGGAGAGAAAATAATTTCCCTTTCTGCTCAGGTCCATCCTTCAGTTTCTCAGAAGCTTGCTGTCTTGTTTCAACCATAACCACATCTGAAATTCCGTGATTGTAAAGAGTTTAATCGTGTCTGTATCTTTAAACATTAAATAATCTTAAAATAGTAAAGAGAAATATACCAAGCTTTGAAGGAACAAAACAGTTGGTGCCTTTTGTTCAAATCTAACACCAAAAAGCCCCTTTTATGTTCCATTTTCCTCTCTCCAATTTGAGCAAATTGAGACAGGCCTAGAAATATCTGGCATTCCCTCTCTTCTGGATGGCTAGATCTGTACTTTTAGTAGGAACTAGATTATACTGACAAAATTTTGTTCTAGGAGTCAGTCAAACCTGTGGTCAAATCCTGCTTTCAGCCTTTATTCATATCATCTTGGGCAAATTGGTTCATCTCTCTGAGCCTGTTTTCTTTTGGGGATAATATTAGTACCCACTTTGAGAGGCTGTAATGAGGATTAAATGAGATAATGTACATAAAGGATTTAGCACAGTGTCACGCATAGTAGAAGCTCAGTAAATATTACATTACAATAAATATTACATCTGACATTCTGCAATTGGAAAGAGTTTAATCGCGTCTGTATCTTTAAAGATTAAATAATCTTAAAATAGTAAAGAGAACTACAGCAGGCTTTTGAAGAAACAAAAGGGTTGGTGCCTTTTGTTCAAATCCAACACCAAAAAGCCCCTTTTAACAGGTTCCATTTTCCTCTCAGTTTGCCACCTGAATATTAAATAGGTATCTGTTACTCAGATCTGCCAGACATATTTTTAAAGAGTGAATACTGGTATGAGGTAACTCGTTATCTGCATTAGGTGGCCTATCCAGACCTGGGTAGTGACTACTGTAATTATTATTATTATTGTTATTTTTGCTGAGGCATCACTCATAACAAACATCCTTGCTACTAGGTGACTATTGCTTATGCTTCCACAGGTGTTCCTTTGACATTTGTCATTAATTTAATGAAAGCTCAGTAACACTATCAATGTGATAAAAGATCAAAATTACCATCACATTTCCCCTTTTAACAGATGTCTTCCATTGTAAACAGAATATGTTTAGCATACTGACTTTTTTCCCTCTGCGTGTTCTAACTTGAATAGTTTGTGCTTTGAGATTTTTGTATTCTTTTAATACAAAAATTATACCCTGTCCACATACATGCTCCTCCTGTCTTCTGAAATGCACCATATTGGGAGATGAGAAAATAGGCCCAGAAAATAGAAAATCACTTAATTAGTAAGATGGTCATTATCATAGACAGTCTCTTGGCTTCCTTCTAGTTAGTCTATTCATATCTCCACAAGTCTCATTTACTCCCTACCCCACCCAGCATTCTTCATATGACCTAGATATTTTCTGATTACCACAAGCTGAACATAGTGTTAAAACAATTGGTGGTATCTCCATTCATTTTGTCAGTGAAGGTAAAAGTCATTTATATCTCATGCGGATTCACGATTTTATAGACATTTTTCTGCTAGAACAAGCTCATTTAAAATAATTGGGGGTCGGAGAAGGTGATGGCCGCGAATAGAGAAGCAGCTCAAGTCTCAACAACTCCCAGCGGCGAGCGACACAGAAGGCCGGTGATTCTGCATTTCAACTGGTCGGTACTGGGACATCCTTTCCCTGGGGAAGGCCGGACAGATCGGACAACCGCTGAGTTAGCTGCCTGCAGACCGACCGGCGAGGCGGAAAGCAGCGGCGAGGCAATTGCCTCACCTGAAGTTGCAAGGCAGGAAGGGGATTCCACTTTTCTAAAGCAGGGGAACTGAGTTTCACACATAACACCTCTGGGCAAAATCGGTGTAACTCCCACCCATTACTGCGGCTTAAGCGAAAGAGCCACCAGTAGGATCATACCCACACCTGGCCGGAGGGTCCACACCCATCCAACGCTAGCCTCCCCATCTTGCTAGCACAGCA